TCAGCAAACTGAAGAGCAGACAAATGAGGCAAAGGCTCGCCGCTTGGCTGATGGGGCACGCTACAGGGTACATAGCTAGGCGTCTCAAGCTATAAGCTCGTTCAACAGTAACCGAATCAGAACCATCTAGGGCCGATAAACGGAAATCCGAAAGACCTGCGTCCAAAAATGCAAACACACTCAATGGCTGTACGTTCAAAGACGCAGTATCAGCCATTAAGCTGACCTCCTTCAGGATGTCATCTTGGACAAGGGCTACGATCTCAAGGAGCCCGCTAAAAGTACCGGAACTACTTCAAGACAGAAGTTTTCATAAGCAGAACTGGCTGTGTGAAAAACGTAGGGGACTTCTGCGGAGAACTCGGTGCTTTTACCGCATACAACAGGAGACGGTGCATCCCTTTACATGAGGATAGTTTGCACCCCATACTATCTCGACAATTCACAGCCCGATGGCCTTGTCTCTATCAGTTGTAACCTTCCCTTTTGGATCTTACTAGCTCCCACAGGTCGGGGGACGTCGGGAAAAAGATACGTTGGCCATGACGTCGTGTCGTGTTCTTCTTTGCACGCTGGGCATTCTGGTTTCCTGGACTGCTCCGACGAGGTGTAAAAGGCTAATTTACAGTCGGTGTGTTTGTTACCCGACTGTTGCCATTGTGCGGCATTCTGAGGACCCAGAGTAGTTGTAGTCGCCAGTTGTCCGAATCTGCTACGTGCTACTCAAGCTTCGGTATGGACAAATTCTGTCAGTGTTTGAATAATACGTCCCCTCCCACTTGAGCAAGAGAATCTGCCACTATTCCGCATCTCGACTGTAGGGTGTTTGGCAGAACTCGAACCACTCGCTCGATTGTGGCGACAGAATTTAAATCTGCGGTAAAATTCATCTGAGATAGGCCACATAACAGTCGTCCATTGTTATGGCGAGACGAGAGAGAGCGTCATGGTCTCCAGCAAGTGGTCTCAATGAACAATGAACAATGAACAATGATTTATCACTGGATAAAAGCAAGTGCTTGACACGTCCCGTAGGATGTTAGCGTGAACACGATGCAAGTAAAATATGTCTGGGTCATCTATCGAACGTCTGCCGAGATGAATACTTTGATAATTAACATCAGTGTAAAATGAAAAAGAAATATCGCGCGTAAACATTCAGAAAGACACTGAGGCGCATTGATAGTTGAGGTAAGGAGTGAGAAAATAAAATATGGTCGCTCACTTAGGTCCATTTGATACATAAATCCTGTTGAAAATATGCTTGGCGTAATCCACAACAGAGGAGCTTAGGTAACAAAATGTTGGGAGCTGAGAGCAACATCTAATCGTTTTTTGGAAACATCCAGGGTAGGAGAGGATACTATTGAGTCTGGGAGTGCGTTCCATGGTTTGCAAACTCGAAGGGAAAAGTAATTCCGTCGACACTCTAGACGGCTATATTGTTCCTTCAACTTTAAGCAGTTACCCCTGAGCTGCGTGTTGTGGCTAAGTTTCAACAAATGGCGGCATACGTGGTTGGGGTCACTCAATATCTGATACGCTAATATGAGATCTCCGCGCAGCCTTCGATAACGTCCGCTGAAAATTCCCAGCAACTTCAGCCTTCGGTGGTAAGAGTGATAGCACAGGCCCGTTACATTTTTTGTTGCTCTTCCTTGTGGTGCCTCTATCGCTTCTAGGTCGCGTTTCAACCAAAGTTGCCAAGCTTGGATTGCGTACTCAACATGCGGGCGCACGTAGGAATTGAGCATCATTGGGAAGATTGATGGGTCAAATCTCCCGAATGCCCTTCGCAGCATGCCGACGTGCTGGTTGCCTCTTTTGGCAGCTACCTCAGCCTGTTTTGAGCAGTTGAGGTCGCTCTGTACGATCACACCAAGATCACGTTCCTAGGAGCTATTCTGCAATTCGTTTGTCCCAAGTATGTAGGTGTAGTTATGTCTATGGCGTATTTGTACTACGCGACGTTTGTCTACGTTGAACGGTAGAGCGTTTTGAACTGACCAGTTCGACACTGTGTTAAGATCGTGCTGGAGCCGTTCATGGTCATCCGGTCCTCTGATCCTTCGCCATATCTTGATATCATCAGCGAAAAATAAGAAATCAGAAGTAATTGATTTTGCCAAATCGTTAACGAACACCAAGAATAGACGAGGTCCAAGAACCGAGCCTTGTGGTACACCACACGTCACGTTGATTGCATGAGAAAATGATTCGCGGACTCTCACCACTAGCCGTCGTTCTGGCAGAAAATTGCTAATCCAACTCAGGATTGGATCGCCAATGCCGTAGTTCCGAAGCTTCTGAAGGAGAACTCGATGGTCTAAACGATCAAACGCTTTTGAAAAGTCCAGGTAGATGACATCGACTCCAACTCCATCATCAACAGCTTCAGTCCAGCTATTACGTGCAATTAGTAGGTTAGTATTACACGAATGATTTTGACGGAAGCCATGTTGCTCTGGGGCTATTAAATTGTGCCTTTCCAAATATTGCATCAGCGCGTCTGCGACGATTGATTCCATCACTTTGGTAGTACGGGAAGTAGTGTTATTGGACGGTAGTTTGCAGGATCAGTGCGGCTACCTCCTTTATGGATAGGAGTGATGACCCCTTGCTTCCATACTGGTGGAAGAGGGTTTTCCTCTAGACATCTCTGATAGAAAACAGCCAGTGGTTCTGCTAGATCACTAACTACCGTCTGCAGAGCGTTTGGTCGGATGTTATCAGCTCCGGGAGAACTGTGGATACGCAAGGATAACAACTTCTTCAACACAGCCTCCGTAGTGAAGGTGATGTTTTCTAAACCAGATGGTGGAGTATTAGAAATGAGGTGAATGTTTGGGCTCGACACTTGTTGGAACGTTTGGGAGTAATGATGCCGTAGGAGATCGGCTGCTTCCTTTGCTGATCGCGTGCATCCATCATCTGTGACTAGCGCCGGAACCCCTCGCTTTACCTTACGAAGGCCGTTAATGTGCCTGTACAGGAGTTTGTGGTTAGTGCAGAATCGCTTCATTAACTTCTGCTGATGCGTGACCTTGTCTTCGCGGATCAGTTTCACACAGAAGTTACGATGTGTCACGTATGCAGTCCAGGTTTCGGCATTCGGGCCACCCTGGTGATTTCGCCATGCCAAATCCCTCCGGGACATACCTTTACGTGTTCTGCTCCTCAGAAATGACTTACTCTGGTTTTTGGGTTGGAAGGACTTATGTTCCGATGCTTGCGCTACCAGTGTGCTCAAAGTCCTTGTAAACATATCCCAGGCCAGATCTGGGGGGCATTCGATTAAGAAAGTCCAAGATGTATCCTTAACAAGCTTGGACAACACATTGTAGTGCGTGAAAGTGTGCACTTTATCCTCCTCCTTTTCCGGGTACTCGGCATAGCCTATATAGCATAGCATATATAATCAAAGAGTAGAGTGACATGATCACTACGACCAAGTGGTGTGCTTGTAACTATCCCGCCAACCATGAGTTCTTCGTTATTTAGCACAAGATCCAGTATCGACGGCTTGTTAGAAGTTCGAAATCTGGTGGGAGAGGTTACGTGGTTGTAAAGAGGGTGGCCAGCAATAAGTTCTTGCAAACAGGCTTTAAACTGCGTACCGTCGGTTGCCGGCGTTTCTATGTCGCGCACGTTAAAGTCTCCCGCGATAAGCCTATAAGCAGACCCTCGATAAGTGCCCTGGCAACAACATGGCACTGGCCAAATAATTCCCGAAGAAAGGCTCTAGTCTTGTTGTAGGCCTGCTCAGGAGGTAACATGACACACTCCCTGATCGCCTCTTTTGCCCGGCCTTTGCAATAGTAAACCAAAGAAAGCAAACGTTGGCCATTGGCCTGAACGCGACTTTCGATAAAATACTCAAATTGTTTGATAAACTTCCTGTAGGTTTCACGGTTACCGTCAAAAAGCAGTTCTACTCTAGGTAGATCCAACTGCGAACTACGGAACAATTGCATTTGGTCGACAGGGGTAAACGGCTCGGTGCCGACGATAGGGTTTCCTGACAGTCGTCGACAAACTGTCCCATCCCCACACTCTTTGTTACTCTGCTACAGTCGGCTACAATTTGACTATCCGGTCCGGCACCTCCTTCCAACTCTAAAGGTAATCTAGCCATCTCTATTTCGTTTTCAGCCAGTAAAGTGGGCCTCTGATTTTCCATTTCTAATTCAGCTACCAACTGTTTCTTTTTAAGCTGGGCTAACCTAAAGCAAACCAATGCATCACTAGGATTTAAACTGACGTTACTACTTTAAGAACTATGCTACGAACCAGAGAAAGAAACGGCATCGCCGGCAACAGAAAGCAAATTCTTAACTTGCCGAGGTTCTTCGTCAGCTTCCAAGACCTTCACGAACGGCTTCCTCCTTCCATGCGTGTTCACGATTTAAGTGAGAAGCAAACGTTGACGTTCTTCAGACACGGAAGTCCGCTGAGCAATTGATCTTATGCTTCCAAATACGTTAAGCACTGTAAGCGTCAAAACGCTTGGGAAGTAAAGCAACGCGTGTTCCGCCGGGAAATCAACTAGAACCAAAACCCGAACCGAGGTACAGGTGCCACTGAACCAAGTAATTATATAAAAACAGGCAATACCTCAACGATTCCAAACTCAAATGCACCCAAAGTTCCTTCAACGCAAAAACAATCGCTGGGTCAAATCACCCAGGTCGATCCATGAACCCAAATACAGGCAAATGATCTCGCACAGAGCATAGGGAAACATGTAGAGATGTACAGACAGGTCGTGGAACCTGACCAATGGCCCCGACCAATGCGGCTCTACTCAGATCAATAAAATATCCCTCGTGTCAGGACACAACACAAGAATGGACATACGAGTGGTTGGGTGATGTCAAGGTCAGTGAAAGTGAAATGTGAATAAATGGGTTTGGGTTCAGGGAGAAACGGTAGAAAGATGGTTAGCCACCTTAAGTTAGGACGTGGACTTTGCCACCTTCCAAATGATTTTTGTGCCTCAGAACAGCTTGGAGCAAAACTGGAGCTAAAAGATGTTTTGACCTTGGACTCCTTGTCTTCCCGCTTTATTCAAGGGCCTGTCAGCGTTAAAGAGGTGTTGTTCCAGGTTGATCAAATGAGACTGGCTCTATATCAGCATGCAGAAGTACTGCAAGTGAAGTGGTATTTGATAACAATGAATTGATCAAATGTTTTTAGGATAATATTTATTGGGGACGTATGCTCTTTAAATCCTTGATGATAAATTGTTGAATAAAGGACTGATTACCCACTTCTCGGCTCAAGTTTTGGGAACAATGAACTGACGTACACAAATAAACTGTTGACTCAACATATCGGTGATTTAAATTTATTCACTTATTTTTGTCAAGTAGGTTTCTATATAACCTGGGCTCATAAAAACCCATTTGTAATTGATGAATATAATATTTACCTTCTCCTCTTTTCTTTAAATGTGTGCCAGTGGAAAAACAATTTATTACGAGTTAAAATTCGGTGACCCTTACCCCACTATTCGGAATTGCGAAGGAGCAAATGATCTCAAATGTAGTCATCCGCATGTAAAGGTTAATGCTTGCGTGGCAGCCATGCACAATTGAAGAGGCTAGGACTGCCGCTGACCATGACGCAATTGGGTGTTTCTGCTGAGAGATTGATTCTCTAGACTATAAGAAGAGCATATTACACGATTCTCACCTGGGCTGCGTTGATTGGTCGAGAAGATTTATGGTTTGCTTTACTGGTTAAGTGAACGAAATCGCTAAAGAAAAGCTACGGCAAAATTTACTTCGCAAACGTCTGAAATGCTACTGATGGATATCCAAAGGCTTCCAATGCTAAAGAAGAACGCATCATATATCGTATTTCCCGAATGGAGGTGAACCGGATACATCATATAATATCGGTGCTAACAGTTTACGGAGTAACCCACAAATGCCAGAAGGAACAACCACAGAATGTTTGCACCACGCTTGCGGCGGCGAGTGACTTATGTTGTATCACACTTCATTTCATCTACACCATTAAATGTGTAAAACTGGAGGAACAAACGTAGGTTTCGTGGATAGAAGGAAAAATTGCCTTGGAGACAGTTCATGCGATTGCGACGTTCTTACGTAGGTTTTCTATTTGTCTCGGTAGGTGGGCTATGTTTAAGCAGCGCTTCAGCTAAAGCACAAACCGCCAATGAAGAAAAATTGGTTGTCTTCAGTTCAGTCACGATGAATATGCAATTAGCTCCTGCCGCAAAAATGACAATATCCTGAAGCTTGTAACTTAGGTGGCGTCACCGGAAGAACGGAACCCTTATCAACACTGCCAATATATGCTACCAAATCTTGTATATCCCTACGAAAAACATTGCCTTTCATATTTATTTAAACTTGGGCTGATAGGCTTAAAACTAAAAAGTTGCCTCCTCAGCCCCAACAACCACAACAGCTAGAATACCCTACTGCTACCAATAGTGCTATGCTAACACCACGACGACGAGGAAACGAATACCGAGCCTAGGGTACTAGAACGCGTACCTAACCTGATAAGTTTCGTTGTATGCAAACGAATAGTGGTAGCCCAGATTGTACAGCTAATCTTTTTAGTGTTAGCTGAGCTTGGTAGTTTTGGTGCAAAAATTTCATCGACACTCGAGGTGACATCATCTGCGCGTTATTATGTAGGGAATCGGAGCGGTGCGATGCGAAGCTTCCGTTAATCTGTGTGTCCGGACATGATCAAAAATCCACTAGAACTCAAGCTCAAGCGTTTCGTGGTGTACTGATACTTGTGTTGGTTAAAGCTTTACAGATCATCGACCCACTGCTTCCAATGTGTACCGTGGACTCATTTGCTGGACGCCTTTCCATGGCTACCGCTGGATGGGAGTTGGTTGGCATCGTTCTTCTATCCAAGAGCCAGGACACCATTTCGCGTGAATTGGTACACTGACTCATGGCGCACGACCCACTGAGTTTCGGGAGTAAATTTTATCGAAGGCTTTGGCTGAGGACCCCAGTCGTTCTCCTGTCATGTGTGATGCCCTGGCAGTAGAACAGTCCAACCCAACAATGAATCACGCCAATTATAATAAGTCCATGCTGCATCGGCCGTCGCGCACTGGTTTTAGGGAAATGTCACCTTATCTGCTGCATACAGCGGCGTGGATAAGCGAAACTTGCTACCGATGACGCCTCCCTACTTTCTACTTCCCAAGCACTACTCCCCGTCCCCGTTTCATCCAACCCACGACTTCCTCCAATCCATGTCTTCGCCACCGTAGGATTGCCCGCGCACACAATTGTATGCCTCCGCGCAAAGCGCTCAACATCGGGTGTTGCAACGTGCACACACTGCTAGACCGCAACACAAGTGATTGTCCTGAGCGACGCACTACACTGGTCGCGATGGAGCTCGCGTGCTACGGCATCCGCATTGCCTCACTCAGTGAGATTCGACTTGCCGTCCAAGTCAAGCTGTATTACTCTGGTGCTGGGTACACATTCTACCTCGTGGGAAGCATCACTAAAAGCGCCATCTGAACATGGGGTCGGCTTTGAACTACCCGACAGCCTAAATGGCCACTTGGTAGCAGAGCCGACTGACATCAATGCACAACTGATAACTCTTCGACTGCGACTTGAAATATGTAAATTTGCCGCTTTGTTAGCACGTATGATCCCATCATGTCTTGTCCTGATAGCACAAAGGATCAGTTTTACTCTCAACTGCCCTCCGTGCTATAGTCGGTACCGAGGAGTGATTGGCAGTTCCTAATGGTCGACTAGAAGGCGCGCGTCAGGCATCATGTTGCGATGTGGACAGACGTCATCCGTTCGTATGGTATTGGCTCAACCAACGGCAACTTTGATGAGTTGTTCCTGAGCTACTGTCCTCTATATAAGCTCATACTATTGAATCCGATCAGGTGCCTTTAATATTCAACATATGAGATCATTAGTTTGCGATTAACTTACCTATTCAAACACCATATATATATATATATATATATATATATATATATATATATATATATATATGCCTCATGCTGAGGTTGATGTTGCATTCATGATGCTTCTTCACCACAGTTCGGCTAAACCAACTTACACTTAAAATAGGTCTTTTAAGCTGCATAAATTTCATTCCACATTTGTTGTTTGGTTCTGTTTACCTGGCTAATATTCTATTAACCTTCCACGTTGCTTACGCTAATTGTGGTTACCTTCGTTAACTTGATTGAGTTTGTAGCAACTTTTGCGCAACTTCTGGACATTTTGTACTTATCGCGCATTCTTTGCTAACCAACTTACTTCATATGCTAATTTAGCGAAGTTATGTCTGCATGGCCGTATTCTTTAACAGATATATTTTATTTGATAATGACATTTCAAGTGATTGGCTGTTGTTTGACATCCGTGTGGCTGCGCTTGATGTGCATGTTGACAAGGTGCCTACCTGTCTATTACACACTACCTCCTCCATGCAGGCTCTAGGAGACAGTTGGTGGTTGATTGAGGGGACGGGATGCACGTTCCTTGTGGTCGTGCTAGTCTCGAAGGGTGGTTCCATGTGTGTGGAGCGGACTACGGTCCAGCAACCGCCTTGTGTGTGCGCTTGATTCCCAACTAAAGCCTGCTTGTGTTTGCCTCTGAAGTAGTGTGGGCCGGCTCCGTTGATGAAACATGACTCCCATTCACATGCCTCCCGGTCTTATTACTTCGGGTTTACGCTGGATATGGGGTGTGTGGTTGGAGCTGTGGGTGGTGCAGCACAAGCCACCCATGGTCCCTCTGAAGGCGCAGGCGTCCTGTGGCCGGCCACAGTGACAGGTAAATCCGAAACCGGATGCCGCCGATCATATAATATACATATATATACATATATATATATATATATATCTTCGTGGGATCCTAAGTAAGTGTCTAAACATCCAACTATTATGTTACAATCAAACGTCCCCAACACAATGCGCAAGCGATTACCAGAACTTTTGCATTACCTGACGTCACCGGACGCGTCATGTTCCTATTACAAATCAGGATGAACTCGGAGCCCGGTTAACCAGGATAACCTTGTAGGAAGCGTAGATAACCGATGGTATTTACACAGGTTCGGTAATGTGTTGCTGTGCGCATGATTGGGGATAGTAGAGGATTGGAGGAAACCGGTTACTAAGGCACTTGATGAGCAGCGGAATTAATCTCGTTAATTCACGTGCCGTCATCATAACACAAGAAAATACTAAATAATAATCATATTTTCTCCGCCAGAGAGAAGGAAGCTATACACTAATCAAAGCATTGTCGACTTCATAGTATATTAATTAATAAGATAACTTTCTCCTGGTACCGAGAAACCGAGCGCACAAGCGGACGGATGGTATTTACATCCCAACATGCTCAGGCATGCGAGGCTGTCAATTGTTTGGGTATTTAAAAGTTTGCGATAGGGATTTTTGCGAATTTTTTTCGTTTGGGACTTTTGTCGCCGTATGCTACCAGTTCGGCCGTATGCACCTTTGGTTGTTTTCGGTACAGCTTGGGGGTGTCGTGATGGCAACGATTTGATGGGGGGGGAAGGGAATATGAAAAGGATGAAACAGTTAGAGTCACCAAACCAAATCAGATGAGTAATACCCAATGGTATTTATTAGACTGGCTTTATACAGTTGGAGCTATTCTTGAGTAGAAAGTTAGGGAATTGCGAAAAGAAGGAAAAGACTATAGAAATGTTACTACAGTGGATCATCAATCTGAAGTTGCTTTGTCAGAATAATATGGACAATATTCACATCGTAGGGAGTTAAGGCATAGCGTGGTGCCTAGACTATCCTAGGTCTAATTATGGAGTTGAACTAATCTGAGTATTTCCTCCCTTTCTATGGCGAAAATAATAGGTGACATATTTTTCAAGCACATGTGGTACTCGAGATTCATAACTATATACTAATTCTCTAGGAGAAAGTTTGTAGTTACAACAGTATCGTCTATCTGAACATTGATTGGCAGCAAACTGTCCGCTTTTCAACCAGCTGCAAGTGCATTTGTTTGGATTTCATTCGGAGTAACTAGCGCTGATCCCTGGCTGATTCCCAAAACAACGCGCACGGTAAAATTGCGGCGGTGACTGAATTCACAGAATATTACATAGTTCATGAATTGCATTCTATCTCAAACCGTTTGCAGCTACTGA